GGATTTTAACATTAACATGCAATCTACTACTAGGATGAATCTACTGTATATGAAGTTTCAGCAGATTATAAACTAATTGACTATAGAAGAAGGTCTGCTCCAAAAGTAATGCCTCCTATTTCACTATGTCGGCCCATGACTCCGGAGATGGATGTTGGCATGGCATTAGAGGCTGAACCTTCCTGCCAGTATCCTGTTACATTTTGCTGCCTTGTGGCAGATGGCAACAGAGGAGCACTCTGACAGAATGACATCTGACCTGGTACAGTAATTTCAGTTACCATGACATGTCTGATGTAGATAACTGATGCTTCAGCTTTAAAATAATCTCCTGTTCCTGCCTGTTCTACTAATTAATCTGATGAGCCCTGTTTACTTAAAGGGAAAACTGAGATGTGATCAGTCTAGCAGAAGCATTTAGACTTCAAGCTCGCAATCACCTTTCTCTATAACATGTTTAATATGCTTAACAATATAATGATGTTTTTTGGACTCTAGATTCCAAAGTGTTAATTATTTCACCTGTTAAGAAAAAAATATTCCTTTCAATCTGGTGAAAGAGGCATGCAGGAAAATAATAAATCCCTAAGGATGTGCTTGAAAAGTGAGCAGATGTTTTTCGTTTTATCTGTTAGCCATGAGTAGCAGTAAATTTTCAATCACGAAAAAAGGACAGACACAATTCACACAGCTCTGAAAGCATAAGGAGAAATGTGTCAAGAAAACAGCTAGTGAATACAAAACAGCTAGTGAATACTGATTGTGAAACTACAGTAAGCCCTTCGTAGAGAAATACGACAAATGAAACTTTCAGTGTGTTTGAGTACAGAAAGAGAAGCACAGAGTTAGTTGTCAGTAACTCATCTGGGAAGATTTCTCTTACCTTTTAGAATTCATCTTGAGTAGGTCTCAGATGCAAGCTCAGATCTGAGGTGTCTCACCTAAAAGTAGTCAAGTTTTATCTTCAGACTAACTCATCTGAAATCCAAAGAGAAAATAAAATCACAGCTCAGTTGGCTAACATTAAACTAAATTAATTAACTTCATCATTTATGGCCTGGAGCTGGCACTATGACAGGAAATGAGCCTATCCTGGTGACACGTTCTCCTCCCAGCTCCTTGAGCCCTCTTGCAGGGTGAGGGCTAGTACTGGGTGCTGCTGTGGGCTTTCCTCTTTGATGTGCACCATGGCCACCAAAGTGGACTCTGCCCCGGATGGAGGGGCCCGCTGTTGCCAACTGCACCCGCTCTTCCTGCATCTCCTCCTCTGAGGATAAAATGGTTGTGGTGGTGAGCTTTTGGATGCCCACATAGGATGCTGAGGCCACTCAGTGCTGGGGCCACTCAGTGCTGGGGCCTGTAGGGCTGGCAGTGACCTGGGCCAGGGGCAGAAGGACTGTGATGGAAGGTGGAGGGGCCAGGGTGGCTGTGGAGCTCCTCCCACCCTCCTCAGCATGGGTATCCCAGCAGCCCTGCTGATCATGGATCTCTAAGCTATATAGGGCTATACAGTAGTGATAAGCCTCTTCAAAAAGGGCTGCATGAGGTCTTGGACGAATGGCGGCAGTGCCCGTACGGCCATTTGGTCAAGCCAACATTGCACTGTCCTGCAGGCACCTCCTATCATTTGTTGCTGCCGATTCTCTCAATCTCCTGTTGGAGCCACTGGAGCAGGGGTTTAAGGTCTTCTGGATGTTGTTGGAAAAAGGCAGCCCAAATCTTGGGTGTGAAGCTGTGCTCAGAAGCAACAAACACTAGTTCTGCAGACCCCTGCTCATCCTGCAGGCCAGAAACTGAGCATGCTGCGGCTGCAGGACAGGACACTAAAGGTTATCATTGTGTCACCTCATTGAGTATCAGTTGGTCCACCTCCGGTGCCAGCATGCAGCACAAGTCAACTTCTTTTCCCACAAGAACACACAGCCATAGCAAAGCTGTTGGAAATGGGATCATACAGGTGACATCATCCCAGCTGTGCCCACTGACAGGTCCAGTTAGATGCCACCTTCATGGTCCTGGGCAGTGGGATAGGGAGAGCTGAAGTCAGGAAGCTGCTCCCTCACTGGTGCTGCAGTAGGCAGGAGCTGTCACAAACTGCGAGAGGCTGCGTTCACACCATATATTCAAAGCAGTCAGCAATGACACTCCAGTTTCTCAGCAGCAAACACTCCCAGCTCCTGCTCCACACTAACCACCCTTGGGGCCATGTTCCCATACCACTAACTGCTGCAAGTGCACCCTGCAGGGTCCTAGCTGCCTGAGCCAGGCAGGACCAAGGAAATGCTGTTGATGCTATGGGATGGGCACCAATAACTGCTGCCAGCAGCCTCACAGCATAACCTGACTAAAGCCTTGTTCATTGGTCCAAATCTCAGTCAGCTTTACTGGAGCGCAGATACTAGTCCACGCTGGGCTCGGGCAGCAGCTGAATTTATAAAGTGAGGGTCAGCAAAGTTACAGTCATCTCTCGCTAACATCACAACCTGTTGACTGGTGACCTCCCATACATATTCAGGCACCAGCCTTGGGTCTCCCTCCACTGTTCAATGATTTTCATTGATATGGTGATATATTCGGGAAAATAAAAATTGAATGTTTACTATGTGCACAATAATCCATGTTCTATGAACTATTTACACTTTCAGAAACTTAGACATTTTTTGCCTGTTCTGGTTAGGGTGCAATACAAATTGGCAGCAATCTTTATGTCAGGCTTGCCTTCCATTCCAAGCGCTCACAGGAGGTTGTTTGCTCATACTTTCCTCGGCAACCTACAGGACCTGCTTTAGCAGGAGATTCAACTAGATGTGCTTCCAACAACTACAGTTCTGTGATCGAACTCCTCCATGCAGAAAAAAAAAAAGGCTCACTGTCATTCACTGATAATTGCTGAACGCTGATGGAGACCAAAGTGCGGATGTGAGTGCACTGAAGTGGTGGGCAGTGTGTTTCAGCAGTTGTGACAGCAACATGAAAGACAAGCCCATTCCAGATCCTAATGTGGACTTTTATTAAGCATGACCTGAAGACTCTTGTTCATGGCTGGAATCTGTCACTGCTTCAGTAGAAAAAAATAGGAAGCATTAATTCCAGGGCGAGCTACATGTACCTTCATAAGTAATAATGTAAAATAGTGTATCCTGAGAAATACCGAATGGTGTGAGATATTAGATGGACTGCAAATACAGAAAGGCTATATATATATATATATTACATATATATATATAAGGCTATATATATATATATATTAGAAATATACTAAGTATATTAGTGTTAAAAACAAAACAAAACAAACAAACCTACAAATGTATTTCCTTTCTTTCTCATTTACTTTGGTTATACTAAACAATAATGGTTGCATTCTTGACAGAAATCTAGTAGGGTTTTGAAGCATTTTTAAAGCATCGCTTAGGAGAACTAGATTTGGACTTAACATTATTATATTATTAACTCAGCACGGGTTCACAAGGGGGAGGTTGTGCTTGACCAACCTGGTAGCCTTCTATGATGTTGTCTCTGGCTGGGTGGATAGGGGGAGAGCAGTTGATGTAGTCTACCTTGATTTCAGCAAGGCATTTGATACTGTCCCCCACGACATCCTTATAACAAAGCTGAGGAAGTGTGGGATAGATGAGTGGACAGTGAGGTGGGTTAAGAACTGGCTGACTGGCAGAGCACAGAGGGTTGTTGGTGGTGGTGCAGAGTCCGGTTGGAGGCCTGTAAGCAGCGGTGTTCCTCAGGGGTCTGTGCTGGGTCCGATCTTGTTCAACATCTTCATCAATGACCTTGATGAGGGGATAATGGCCACCCTCAGCAAGTTTGCTGATGATACGAAGTTGGGAGGATTGGCTGACACGCCTGAAGGCTGTGCTGCCATTCAGCGAGACCTGGACAGGCTGGAGAGCTGGGCAGAAAAAAACCAGATGAGGTTTAACAAAAGCAAGTGTAGAGTCTTGCATCTGGGGAGGAATAATTGCATGCACCAGTACAGGTTGGGGGATGAGCTGCTGGAGGGAAGCCCTGCGGAAAGGGACCTGGGTGTCCTGGTGGATGACAGGTTGGCCATGAGCCAGCAGTGTGCTCTTGTGGCCAAAAAGGCCAATGGCTTACTGGGGTGCATTAAAAAGAGCGTGGCCAGCAGGTCGAAGGACGTGATCCTCCCCCTCTACTCTGCCCTGGTAAGACCTCATCTGGAGTACTGTGTCCAGTTCTGGGCACCCCAGTACAAAAAAGACAAGGATCTCTTGGAAAGAGTCCAGCGGAGGGCCACGAAGATGGTGAAGGGCCTGGAGCATCTCTCCTATGAGGAAAGGCTGAGTGAACTGGGTCTGTTCAGCCTTGAGAAAAGGAGACTGAGAGGGGACCTGATCCAGGTCTATAAGTATCTAAGGTGTGGGGGGCAGAATGGCGAGGCCAGACTGTTTTCAGTGGTGAGTGGAGACAGGACAAGGGGAAACGGCTGGAAACTGCAGCATAGGAAGTTCTGCACCAATGTGCGCAAGAACTTCTTTACAGTGAGGTGACGGAGCACTGGAACAGGCTGCCCAGGGAGGTGGTGGAGTCTCCTTCTCTGGAGATGTTCCAGACCTGCCTGGATGCCTACCTGTGCGACCTGCTGTAGGGAACCTGCTTTGGCAGGGGGGTTGGACTCGATGATCTCTGGAGGTCCCTTCCAACCCCTACAGTTCTGTGATTCTGTGATTCTGTGATTAAAATGCAGGCTTAACATGAGTATTGTTTTCAATGTGTATCTTACCAATGTGATAGCAATTAGAAGCAGATCTGAACAAGCATCATGAAATGTCCAATTTAGTAAGCCTTTTCCTTTCTTCTGCACTAGAAATATTTTACAGTACAAATGTTGAGAAAAAGTTTTGAGCTGTTTTACTAAGAAGGTGGACAAGTTGCCTCTTTTTCAATAAGGACAGTAAATAAAACAGCCAAGTTACAGAAACAATCTTGAGAAGAGTCAGGAGTTTCAAACAGTAACAGTCCCAAGCTTTCAAACACGCACAGACTAAATTTTATTGACAAACACATTAGTAAAAAGATTTTTTTTAATTTTAAGATGACTCCAGCAAAAATATAACAAACTTACCTAAAAACAAGTTACATTCACAAGTCTGACAGTCTGCCAATACAACTTTAAATTTCAACCTATTACTGAAAACATGTATTTCTAATTGTATTTTAACTTGTAAATAAATTACAAGAAAGCGCATTACAATCATATTTCACAGCAAAAACAAACAAAGAAAAACAAACCATGAACTAATTGAACTTCTGTAAAAAAAAAAAGATTCCTGCAAAATCCACAACATCTGCAAAAGACTAAACCTCAGTCAACTAGGTACACAATTCATACTGCATTAACCTTTCATGACCCTGCATACAGCTGCTATTTCCACATTACCAGCTAGTTTAATTTCACAAAGAGTAAGAAAATCATTAACTTTAGAACAGATTAAAAAAAAAAATCTAAAAGCCAGCTGCTTTGAGTGATCATAAGAAGACTCATCATTCATAACACTGGCAGCTTACAGAATAGATCCCCTTTTCCCTTCCCATCCCCAACACACTCTTTTTTGGTTTGCATAGAAAAGGGAATGTTTTGTCTGGTTTTGGTGGACTTATATTTTTTTTTTGGCTTAGGTATTATTACACTGAAAAAAAAATAACTAAGAAGTACCAGTTTCTGTGCTTTACGATGAAGAATTTCATATTCTGGTACAACAGTTACACTTCTTGTTCAAGACAGGCTAAACTAATTTCCATTTCCTTTCCATGTGTAACTTATCCAACTGTTTTTTAAAAACTACATCCAGAAGTTAACTAATTTTCTGTCATTTTCTTCTACTTTGCTTCCATGAATTCAAGCCTTCATGCTAAACAAACATAGCCTCCTTCACACAGAATCAATAAGTTCACATCTCCAGCCAGCTAACAGTACCTAACTGTGATGATTCCACCAACCTGACAGCTCTGACTTGCCTTTTCATATTGATGTAACACTGTTTCTTCATAAAAACAGAAGCACGTTGATTTTTCTCCCACACAGGAAAAACTGAATCCAAACAGAAACAAGCTTCCTGCAAGTACTTGTACAGCTATGAAACAACTGATCAGGTCTCCATCTCAGTCTCCATGGTATCAGTCCTTGAAGGAGTTTTATCAGCACATGTAGTCTCTCCATGCAGGCTCTGAATATCAGATAAATCAATTGCAGGCAATGGTGCTCTCCAATACAAGAATGAGTTATACTGATTGAATTCTTCTTGCTTTGAAAAGATAAAAAAAGGCAACAAAATATTAATATAATCACATTAATCAATTAAGCAAATAATTCACTTTTGTCAAGTACTCAACTACTGCATCACTTCTGGGAAACATCTCTATGACCCCATCAATTTGTTCAATTGGCAATCTTTCATTAAAATCACAGAATCATAGAATCCTTAAAGTTGGAAGGGACCTCTGAAGGCCATTTAGTCCAACTCCCCTGCAATGAACAGGGGCACCACAGTTAAGTCATGTTGCCCAGGGCCTTATCCAGCCTCACCTAGAAAGTCTCCATGGACAGGGGAATCAACCACATGCTGGGGCAGCCTTTTCAGGGATGTAGTTGAATAATACTGAAAAAACCTATGCAATTACTGTACTTCACACATACATGAATTGTTCATTCTTTTCTTCTCACAATAATACAGACATTTCATGTGCATTTAGAAGCTGGTATTCAAAAGGAAACGTTCAACTATTTTACCACATTGTATTTCTTCATTTCTATATGTACATTTTGTTCTCAAGTAGGCATCAGAAAAATCAAGATGTCTTTTAGGTCCAAGGAGAAGAAGGGACTGTTAAGCCATACAGGAACAACATGAGAGGAACATTCACTTATCTACTACCTTACTTGGTATCTACATGTCACTGAAAAAAATTTAGAAAATCTCTGTTGGATAGCACAGTTGGTTTTCAACCTTACATCCTTAACCACAGAATAAAATTTACAGACTGGGCAGCCAACCTGTGCATACGCCCATAGAAATTACACATGTAAGAAGTGAAAAGAGGAATTCTCAAGCTGCTCCTTACATCTTAAGCGTGCATCTTCTTCTGGTATTACAAAAACAATAAATGCTTTTATTAACTTATAATTGGAACTGTTAGACATTATATTAAATGTCTCAGCATAACCAGTTGCTGAAAAAATCAGTTTTGCAACTAAATTGTTACAACTGCTTTGATATGGCTCTGGTCTGCTGACTCTGTAATTGATTAATAAAAAAAAGTAATGTTCAATAAATTACAGTAAGCACTGGCAATAACCCTTCTACCAGAATAATGATGCCTTTTTTTCTTTAACTAAATTTAAGAAGTGTATAAACTTACAATACTTCCCCTCTAAAGAAACATTTTTCTATTCATTGCAACACAGGCCTACCATGAACTCCAGTTTGTATTAGTTAACCGCTTTTTCTACCATCAAAACCTGCGTTATTAAAAGCCTTTAATATTAGGTTTGAGATGTGAAAACATGTCATAACAACAGTATGTTTGTGCACCTGTAGAGTCCTACTAATGCATTAACTTGCACAAAGACTGCCTTCACTAAAGATTACAGAAACAAAGTTCCCTTTAATTGGATCAGCAAGCAAAACCAGTGAAAGATACGGTGCCATGATAACAGAAGGGTATGGAAACTGAAAGAATACCTATCTGAACACCCAGTATCTGAAAGCAGCTGTACACATCTGAGATACAGTTTTGTAAACTGAATTTTAAATACAGCATAACATTAACAAAAAAACAAAGAGAGAAAGAGAAAGGGAAGACATTCCAGTCCAAGCTCCACACGGGGATGTCTCGCACACTCAGTACTGCATAAGGCAGGTGGAGAGTATCTCTGAAAACCAACTCAGAATATGTCAGCTACTCTTGACAACTCTCTATACGTTTAATGAATTCCCTTTTTTATGATTTAGTAATAGGTTACTGCTCGTATGGTAAGAGCTCGATTCTTCACATCAGAATACCTCTGTGCTACCTGTTTTGCACACATTCATTAATGGACAGCATTTTTAAACTATTATAATCCAAAACCTCGTAACTACAAAGATGCAGATACAGATTTTGGCCTTGTACTCCAAATGGGATTAACTTCATGAGCATTTAAGTCTCAAGAGCAGCTTTATTCTGCTTTATTTATATTCTTCACAAAAATTCTGTGTGAAAGCAAACAAGCCAGAGAAGCGCACCAGAGAGGAGCAAATACTCAACATTTGAGATCAAATATTCCTCTTCACCTACGTATCTCCAAAACAAGCTGAGAAAAATGAAGTTAATCTTCACTGGATGAAGTTGTTTAAGAGTTAATTTCTCAAATGCAGTTGCAAATATTTTCAAGTATGCTTGCAAATAAACTCAAGCACATTTCTTCTCTGGCCAACTTAAGGATAATTGCCAGCAAATTTAACAATAAGTGTAAAATTTACACTGTTCTGACCATGGTCACTACTGTCACAAACTAAACAAACCACCAAAGAGCAAAGAACAATGCTAATCTCCAGCTGCACTTTCTGAAAGCTACAAGAATCATCATGAGAAATAGTTACTGCTGTTTAAGATGCAAACCATGCAGGTTAAAGGTTCAGAATATGGAAGGAACACCTCCTGTCTGCTATTGATCACGCTGTGGTTCAGGGGAGAGAGACACGTCTGTAAAATACTTTTACTTAGGGAAACACACAACTAAAAAATACTGCCTAACGAAAATATTTTATACAGCAAAGCATACAAAGAATAAAGTATATATAAAGTATACAAAGTATATAGCATACTTGTATACTATATTTTTTCCCTCAATTCCTTCATGCCTCAATTCTACAATCTGACAGAAAAAGCAGACAGAAAGCCTGAGATAAAATAAGTCACAAATCACAGAACTGTAGGGGTTGAAAGGGACCTGTAGAGATCAACGAGTCCAGCCCCCTTGCAAAGCAGGCCAAACACGTAGACATCCACAACCTCCCCGGGCAGCCTGTTCCAGTGCTCCATCACACAGTGAAGAAGTTCCTTCACATATTGGTGCAGAACTTCCTATGCTCCAGTTTATGGCCGTTTCCCCTTGTCCTGTTCCCACAGACTACTGAAAACATGTCTTTCCAAGTCATGGTGTGGTGCCATACAAATGACGGACCAACTTGAGAACGGGTCTGACGTCCCAGTTTATCAGACCTGCTCCCACAAAGCCACCAGATCCAATCCTTTGCTTTCATCTGAAAGGTCCACGTGAGCGTACACCCGCAGACCTCCAGGCAGGCGTTACTTTGAAGAAGCTAAGAACCACATGTTGTCTGCTATGCTACTGCACAAAATGCTGCCATCCTGCTCCATTGTTCGGCGGCGGACAGTGCGCTGGAAGCCAACCGCGTGCCGTCACTCCGTCATCGCAGCACCAGCAGCAGGCTGGGGCCGCCACTAATAGGGGGCCGCCACTACTGGGGGCCCGCCCGAAAACCGACTGGGCAGATGGGCTGTCATACAGCCTAAGCCCGATTTGTGAGAGGCACTACCTTCAAACTTCCACTTCGCTTTTGGACGGGGATGTGACCGAAGACGGAATAAACCGAGTCAAGCTCTCCCCCTAGCCTCTCCAGTGCAGAACGATCGGAGCGGGCAGAAATACCGCTTTCTTAGCACAAAACACAGCGCAGAAGGACGAAGAGCCCGCAGGGGCCGCCCGCGGGCACGCGGCTATGCGGGGCCTGCAGCGCCGTGCCGGAGCGCCCCAGAGCGAGGCCCACCCCGGACGGCTAACCTCCCGCCCCGCCCCGCTCCCCGCGTCGTTACCGGGGCGGCCGCCGGTTCTTCGCCCCGCCTGCCGTCGCTCCCCTCCGCCGTCCGCCCGTCGTGGGGCGCCGCGGGCTCCTCCCGCCGCCGCCGCCTGCCCGCCGCATCGCTCAGCTCCCCTCGAGGACCGCCGCCGCGCAGCCCGGGACGCTTTCCCGGCGGCGCCTCGGCCTCCTCCAGCTTCCGCTTGGCGGCGGCTCCGGCGCCCGCTGCCTCGTTCCGCGGGCGGCGTTCGGACAGGGAGGAGCGGGGAGGCGGCGGCGGCTCCCGCAGGAGCCGCTTGAAGGGCGCGTAACAGACCAGCGGTTCCGCGCGCCGCTTGGCCATGGGAAAAGCCGGGCGCGGAGGCTCCGCGTAACGCAAAGCTCCCGGCGGCGAACGCACCACCACCGCTCGCCGAAAGCGCATGCGCGCCGCCGGTTCCCCGCCGCCCGCACGGGGCGGGACTAGGCGAAACCACGCCGCCGAGGGGCCCCGCCCTGCCGCGTGTGGCTCAGCGCCTCCCAGCGCGGCCCCGAGCGCCGCGGAACCGCAGCAGGAACGCGCGGGACCTAAGCCGACGAGAAACCACACCGCACACCATGTCGTACTGCAAACTTTAATGTCAGAGAAAAATCAAGTTCGTTACACACATTAAAAATAGCGGAAAGTTCACGCGGAGACATGAAGCTTCCAATCCCCATCGTTGTGACTGTGCTGTGTGCGCACTACCGTATAAATAAAAACACAGGAAGCTCTACATTTGTCAAACGTACTCCCTTAGGCAGAAGCATTTGTGAGGCCAGGATCCGGAAGCGCACTCACAGCGGGTGCAGCGGGAGGAGCGTGGCACCGCGGTTGTCCCCGGCTGAGCGATGGAGCAGCCTGGGAACGTGCAGGTAGGGCAGAGGGTTCCACACCACTGACTCACACCACCGATTCACAAGGCTGCGCTGCTTCCGGCTGTTAATGCAGCTGCTACACGTTAAAAGGAAATCCATGGGCATTTTCCAGATGAGAAATACAAGCACATCGCTATATACATGATTAAAGTCAATAAAACTTCTTCCTATAACCAGTGCTGACAATGGAACTTGTGACAACATGGGGCAGCAATGAACAAACCCAACTGAAGCTGGTATCAGTGTCCAACTGGAACACAAGGATACAGTTTTGTATGTGTAGGAAGCATCGCATGTTGGGTACCACCACTGACTGCTAGAGTAGGAAACAGGACCAACATTCAGCTAACTCTGTCTGACTTCAAGGAACTTGGAAATCAAAACACTAATCTCATTTTATCCAAGGAAAAAACAAAGTGAAGAAACACAAAGTCTACCCAGTAACCAAAGTAAATAACTCAGTAAGAGAATGAAAGTAACTGAAGATTATCATCTTTTTTTTTTTTTTTTTTAAAAGGTGTGAAGAGGCTTCTATTTTAATCCCCTTGCAGTAGCAGTGCTTTAAAAATCTTTCTCGGACCAAGGCAGAATCTCAGCAGTTCATTAATGGAGTACAATCTTGGTGGTACAGTTCAAACGAGCATTTTATATGTGAAGCTGGAAATTTCTGTAGTCCAGAACCCTTTATTCTCAGTAAAAATTCTGACCAAAAAGGGGCACAGTACTGAAACATCCACAGTCACTCTTTTTCTATACGCAGTGTTGAAATTATTTAAAAAACAATTAAGAAAAAAGAAAAAAGAAAAAAAGGAAAACAAACCCAGGATTGTGATTTTCTTCCAGGCAAACTTTCGTTTTAGAAATGAAGGCACAAATGTCCAGCCTTAACAGGAAAAATCCCAAAGTTAATAATGGAAATATTAAAAAGATGTGATTATGAGAGTATGACATCACCCTGAAAAAGGGACCAGAAACAATCGTAAACATTTAAAAACATTATTGTCCAGTGCACCATTATGACCCTGAAAACATCCTTAATTCCTTACCACAAGGTTCTTATATTTTGAATAACGATAAAGGTGGTACTGAACCTAACCAATACAGTAAGAGGACAAATGGCTACCATGATGCCTTCTCTAAGCTCGTAATTTTTTTCACTTACATAACAAGCAAAAGAAGATTCAGCTTTACTTTTACGAAGATTCGGCTAGGATTTGCAGATTAAATATGCTCCTAAGCCTCATTAGCCAGAAAAAAAAAAAAAATGTAGGATAAGGAAGTAGTAAGCCACTAAGTAGTAAAGTGCCTATAGCTACAATGCTGACTCAGGTAAGGAAATCACTAAGTTACAGCACATTATTTACATGTATTTTTTTTTATTCCTCGAGAAAGAGGGATTTTTCTCTGTCACTACCTAGAAGTGGCATGGATAACTCAGTCATTAACATTGAAAAAGAGATGAGTGCAAGGTTTATCATAAGTTTCTGTTAGTTATACGTTTAACACTTTGGCTTAAGCGATAAGTAGGTGACTCAAAATCATTATGTTTTAAAGCCACGATGCATCCAATATTTCAGTTTCAACGCTGTAAGATGATCATTTACTTCCAACCCCCTTGCTAGGTTACCACGACTCAATACGAGATCATTCAATCATTTCATAAATTTTCAATCATTTCAGACTTCATAATTCACTAAAAATGTATTCTTAAAAATACTTCTTTAGATGTGACGCAGTAAGTACAGTACGTACCTTTGTGCATTCCTAACATCAGAAAGCAGAACAAAGGAAATCATTATAAAACCCAGAAAAACGAGGCAGCATTTGTGAAATTAGCTTGGTTCTGGCAAACAATTCTTATATCCAAGAAAACATTTTTGTTCTTAATGCATTCCAAAGCAAACATTTTATCTTCCATTTTCACTAGTTACAGTACAAATATGTATGGCATAGTACATGTCTGGATAGCAACAGAAATATTAAGAAAATAGACACTATCTAAATCTTATTAGGAATAAGAAGGCACCACTGATTTGAGGTTGCGTCCAGACATCATTCAGTCCACGTTATTTTTTAATTCTAGCATTCAGGCCAAACTTTTTTCTGACTAACCTATTCGAAGCACTTCTCTTCTGGCTTTCTCACCACAAACAACACACATTCGTAGTAGTATTTCATCATGGAGAGTTCATTCACAGTGTAAGTTGACAGTACAGATTCTTTCTCCACCTGGAAAAGAAAGCGTAAGTTTTCAAAACATTTTCAACTTTTCTTAGTGAAAGAAATTGTTACTTAATTACAGTCCATAGATTTCAAAGCCTCACACTTTTCAAAAAATGACAAAAGCGAATCTGTGACACAATTACACACAACCTACTCTCCTAAAACTTATTTGTCTATGAGGCTAGCTTGAACAAACTTTAAGATAAACTTTAATTAAGGAGTTTGTCCAGTCAACCAATGGACATTTGGTAAACCAATTTGGTAAACCAATGCTGCTCAGTCAAAACCACATCATCTTACCTCTATATGGAAGCCATACTGCAGTATAACGTTTTTTATATCCTCATAGCTTAACTCTATTGAAAGTTCATTTGCCAAATTTTCAAAGTGGTAAAGAAGAGGACCTGGAGTGCAAACACAAAATGGAAGTGTCCATCAAAACCATTTTTAAAATGAAAACCACATAATGACAATGTGAAGAATGCTAACATCCAGACCCACTAAGCTGGAACACATTGTCATCACTGAAAATACAGTTCTCAGAATGAGTCAGAATTCTGCACAAAATCACAGTAGTTTAACTGCTTATGCAAGAATGAAGTCTCATTTCCCATCAAATCATGCTGTACCTTAAACTTTCATCCATGCTATCAGTCTAGTATCATTGCTGTGTGTACAGAATAGAACGCAGGACAAACCATGGCCTACTCAAAAGCTATGCTCACATTCTGTGACTGGTAAGCTTCTCTTGTACAAAATGTTTAATGACGCAGTTTTGTCTGCCAGTCCCATAGGAGACTTAAAGCCTTTTCTTGTGATAAGGATATCCATAAATCTCATTTCCAAAACTTATACTTTGGAGCTTTAATTAACAGCAAGAATACAGCACACTACAATTGTCAAATAACAGAAGTGTGACACGTATAAAAAAACCTAGCACTGGGAAGACACACTTCAACATTTCACATCACATGGTGATATAACCCGACTGTAACAAATATTTGAGCAAATGCTGAACACAAAATTCTAAAGTCATGGGTGTTGTTATCTCCACAGTCTTCAGTACAGATGCCTTCACCCCCACACTACTATATTATAGTACTGTATATTAAAGATGCCTGTTATGTGAGCAAAGGGAAGTCAGGGATTGCGAGAAGGAAGTTGGTCACACTTGCCTACATTTATCCATATGCCTCCAGGCTTCAGTATTTTCCATATAGTATCAATATAATCAATAACATTATGTGCTGTATCAATGAAAAAGCAAGTTGCTATGCAGTCCCAAGTATCTGTGCAAGAACAATAAATTGTACAGATTAATTCAAATTTTCTTTTCCCCTGTAAAAGTTCATCATTTAACACCAGTATTTGTTTATACACTCAGTACTTCCTTTAACTAACAGTAATAATTGAACACTTCATTTAGTTTAAAAGTAAACAGTCATTTACAAGAAACTAACATTTTGCTTTATGTTAAAGAGATTTAAGTTTGGATTTCTGTGGTCTACATACAAGCTCTAAAGTACTATACATATGCGTTTGGTTTTTATAATTCATTCTATACAGTAAAATAAAAACAGTATAACAAATGAGACCATTTGACATAAATGAAGGTCCAACCATACCATTACCCACCAGTCGTAGAAGTTCATTATAAAACTATTAGAAATACAAATGTAAAAGTATCCAGTGATTTGGGGCCTCTCTGGACACATTAATATGTAGAAGAATACAATGCTCTACACTGAAGTGGATGCACAAATCACATAGCTCTAGAGTATAGCTCAGAGTAACTGAAAATTCCTCCAATAAATAACAAGTATAATCTTCCCAGGACTACCTTTTAAAGCATGAATCTCCCTGTTTGTCTCTAAACATGTATCCCTGAAATTGTAAAAATTTAAGCTTCCGAAATAAAAAAGTAGAAGTCTCAATTTATCTCCAGCGCTGGATACTCTTAAGATAACATTTTCAGAAAAGCATACAACTGTAAGGAAGCCAACCACACAAAAATACCTGGAAGACTAGCTGCACAAAAAAAAAAAAAAAAAAGTTCATGAAAAATATTTAATTATGGTGAAGAACTGCTATGAAAATAAAAGGGTGGGAGCTGTAACAAAAAATAGGCATTCCACGCAAAATCAAATACTGTGTGAGGATAAAATACTGACTTCTATATAAGCTTACTTTTTATTAATTTATCAAGCTCTATTAGATTCTGAAGAGTTAAGGTGTTAGACAATGTATAAAAGTGAAATATGTGCTGCCTTTGATCAAGTCTTGTGCATGTAACTGGTGAA